TGTGGAGAGGCCGAATGGTAGGACTGCAAATTGGAAGTGGTCCCTGCCCACTACAAATCTGAGGAATCTCCTGTGGGCGGAGATCACTGTAATATGGAAATAAGCATCTTTCAAGTTGAGGGCAGTGTACCAGTCTCCTTTCTGCAGGGAAGGGATGATAGAGACTAGGGTAACCATTCTGAACTTCGTTTTCTTTACGAATGAGTTCAGGTTCCTCAGGTCTCAGAATGGGACGAAGGCCCCCTTTTGCCTTGGGAATAAGGAAATACCTGGAATAGAAACCCTTCCCTCTGAACTCTGTTGAAACAGGTTTGACAGCTCCTAGGTGCAGCAGCTTTGTTACTTCTTACTTTAACAGAACCTCATGAGAGGGGTCCCTGAAGAGGGACGGGGAGTGAGAGGTTTGTGAGGAAGGGATAGATAGAAAGGGAATCGAATAGCCCTTTGCTACCCGGCCTAGGACCACTGGTCGAAAGTTATCCTGGACCAGACCTGGTAGAAACGGGATAAATGGAAATCAAAAAGGGGGAACTGAAGTTTGAGTGTCACGCTGTCCTCAACCGTGCCCTGAAAATGCAGGGTTGGGACGCTGTCCCTGAGGCAGAGCTGGCCCCACCCTGTCCTGGTCCAATCTCGAACCGCTGTCTATTTCGGGGTTGATCGTTCCATCCATTGTTACGGCCTCTCCTCCTACCACATTCGGCGTTAAACCCCCATTGGAATGGTCTGGTACCAGGTCTGGGGTTCAGAGGCCTTCTCAGGGGGGCGGGCGTATGAATCCCCAGGGATTTTAGAATTGCCCTAGAGTCTTTTAGACTGTGAAATTTTGAGTCAGTCTGGTCCGAGAATAGTCCCTCTCCTTCAAATGGGAGGTCTTGCAATGTGTTCTGAACCTCCGGGGGGATGCCTGATACTGGAGCCATGCACTCCTCGTTACAATGGTCGTAGCCATAGTTCCGGCTGCCGAGTCTGCCGCATCGAGGGCTGCTTGTAAGGCTGTACGTGCCACCGTTCTACCCTCTTCAGTTAAGGCCCCAAACTCTTGTCGAGCCTCCTGTGGTAGATGGTCCTTAAACCTCTCCATGGCTGACCATGCATTAAATGCATACCTTCCTAGCACTGCCTGCTGGTTAGCTAGATGCAGTTGTAGGCCCCCAGTGGCATATGTTTTCCTCCCCAAGAAATGAAGCTTTCTGGGTTCCTTTGATTCGGGGGTGGGACCTGGAGGCCCCTGGCGTTCTCTCTGTCCTGAAGCTTGGACTGCTATGGAGCTCGGGGGAGGATGTGTAAACAGATGTTCATAGCTCACTGAGGGACAAAGTAAATGCCTCTCCACCCCTTTCTGTGTGGGAGTGATGGAGATCAGATGGTTTTTGACAACTTGCCCACCGTTTTGTTCAGTGGTAATGCTACCTCCCTGGGGTGTTTGCCGAGAGCATGTCCACCATCGGGTCAGCCTCTTTTAGTACTTCTTCAATCTGGACTGACAACCTTACCGCCAGCCTTCTTAATAAGTTTTGGTGCGCTCTTGCATCCATTGACGGAAGCGATGGGGCTGAGTCCCCTAGGGCCTCATTGGGTGAAGATGACGAGGACTCCCTCAGGGTCGGCTGCTCTCCCATTGGTTCATCCACATGTGGCCCTGCCTGCATTGGAGGGACCATTTGTGTGGTCTCCAGATGCAGTAGTCTGGGTGCCCCTCTCCCCTGTGTCCTGAGGCCTGGATGCAGCCGTGGCCATCGAGTGGCCTGTCTCTGATGTGGGGGCAGGATGGAGAGGGGTCACTGATGGTAGACTCCCCCGTCTCGCGGAACCTAACACAGACCCCAAAGGGGGTGGCCCTTGGCCCTGGTGGTAGGCCCACGGTGTCAAAAAGGGCCATTGTTGAGGTTGCCACTGTGGAGGCTAGATGCATGATTGCAATGGGTTCCCATGACTAGCCCTATTTCCTAGTCTGGTCGGTGCCAAGGCAATACGGGTATCATCCCCGGTGCTGCACTAAGGGTCGGTGTAGGTGCCGGCATTCTACCTGGCTCTGGCACTGACAGATGCCCTTGAATCGATGCCCAGGCAGCTGACAGTTCAGAGGTCAGCCTAGATGTCAGCAACGGTGACGGTATTGGTACTAGGGATACCATCAGTGCCGCTAACAGTGCCGATCAGCGTCCAAGCGATCTCACCAGCACCAGGTTGGGTAGGTTCGTCAAAGATGACAGCTCTGACGCTTGCAGTGCTGAGGTTAGTGCTATTAGCTCCCGCACCACGTTAAAAGTTTCCGGCGTTGATCACCAAAGATCCTGGAGGGCTCCTGCAGCTTCTCCCCTCCTGGGGGGTATGTCTGTGCCTAGACAGTGCCCAGGGCTCCCTAGAGTCTTTGTGGCCAAGTGCCCTTCCTTTGGGAACACTTTTTGGACTCGCCTGTCCAAGGACCTTCCTCTGGAGTCCTCAGGTCTCCTCTGCATTGGAGACAGAGCAGTGCTGCGAAGTCTTAGCCGTGGTCTTACGCTTAGACGGTGCCACGATCACCTCCCATACCGAAGGAGGAGTACTACGCACTGATTGGGCTCCGTCTGGTGCCGGCGCTTGGAGGGTAGACTCCATAAGTAGCCACTTAAGCCTCGACTCTCTTTCTCTTCTTGACTGCAGCTTAAAACTCTTACAAATCTTACAGTTGTGTGTGCAAAGAGCCTCCCCCAGACACTTTAGGCAGGAGTCATGCGGATCCCTGCAGGGCATAGGTTTCAAACAGGACACACAGGGCATGAGGCCCTGGGATCCCCTCCCCAGCCTGGGAGAGGCATAGAAGAGGAACAGTGCCCTCTTATCTCTCATTATTCACAGACTAAGTAGGTACTAATTAGGTAACAACTACAACACTTAAGAAACTAAAGAAACTATATACAAGCTAAGGGACGACTGACAGTCTTGAGAACGCTCCAGCTAGTCAAGGGCAGTAAGAAGGAACTGGGGGGGGGGTATATATGTGTGGATATGCTGGCGCCACTCCAGGGGGCTCCCTGGCAGGCCCAATGGATACTGCTAGGGGGGAAAGCTTGTACGCGGAATCCATGTACGCGGCGTGCGCACACCTAATTGGAACGGACACGAGCAAGCACTCGAAGAAGAACTGACCTTTTGGATTTGGCTGTTAGGGTGTTTTGTTTGAGCAGCAATACTGGCTCAGGTCTAATGGAAATGCTGGGGCTGCCTGGAGTCCAGCAAAAGTTGCTTGTCCCAACATCACTCTCTCCTCAGAGCTGGAGCAGTGGCAGAGAACTTGAGAAACAGGAGGAAGGAGCCTAGCACGGACACCACCAAGGGCTGGGGAAACTGAACAGACTGCAGGAGACAAGCCCTCGTTGTTGATGGGAACTGGGACCCATGTCAACCGGCAGAGGAGATGGGGCATGCAGGGATTTTACAGGGCTCCACTGGGTCTGAGCTCTGCACAGCAGTTCACTAGAGGGTGGCATGTGAGATCTCAGTCAAAAGCCAATAATCCTCTGTGCTTCCTGTAATCAGTGCAACGTGTGGACAGATCACGTCCTTTCAGGCAGGAGGTAACAAACCTCTCCCCCCCAGCCTGGCCGTTTGAGCACTGGAGGGGAGCTGCTGCTTGTTTCAAGGTAAGTCTGGGCTGTGATACTTTGCTTAGTGAGGGCGCTAGTCCATTGCCCTGAGAGACAGTAGAGCTGCAGGCGCTATCTGAATTCAGACCTGCTAAGACTCCCTACGGCTATGGTGAACTACAGCAGAAACTGCAGACTCTCAGGCCTTGCCATGAGAAACATCTCAGATCTCTAGCTGCCAGCTAATGGGGTGCCAGCAGAGAGGTCCCAAATAGATCACTGGAAACAGTGACAGGTGGTAATAGGGAGATTATAGTCAATTCAAAATCCTCACTTCAATGTCTTTAATTAGCCCAATGTGGATTTGCTCCAGCAGTCACATCACGGAGCATGTTTACACTTGTATCAAATTCATATTAATGCAGCCAAGATTAAGCAATCTCTTACAAATGTCAAGGCAAAGTCCTTTACGTCACTTTCTACCTTGGAACCCTGAGCTGCCCACAAGAGAGACTGTCCCGCATGAGGCAGAGACCTGATGAGCATCATGAGCTGGAACAGACACACAACTCGATTGCTTTCTTCATAAATCTCAAAGCCAAACAGGGCCAACAGAAAACTAACCAAAATATGATTTTTGAAAATGCAAATGAAAATTGTTGGCAGATTTGTAATATTTGCATTTTAAAAGCAATGGTAGAGAACACAATGATGCTCACGTATGTAATAGCTCATGGTTTCTAATGTACAGAATTTTGCAAATCCACAGATACCCAATTTCTATCCATGGCTACTTGCATCCATAGCTCATTTTTGTAGATACAGACACATACAAATTTAGTATCTAGAACCCTGCAAATCTGAAGATATCCATTTTATATTCACAAGTATCTGCATCTGTGGATGTGGATTTCTGTGGCTCATTTTTGCACATATAGATGTGGCTGCGGATAGAAAATGGATCTGCACAGGGCTCTGCGGATCTAAACCTAGAGCTAGTGTGTTATCTTTTAAAAACAGAACTGTAATCTCGGAGCAACGTGGACTAGTATTCACAGGAAGGGACTAGATGTCGGTAAGACCCTATTTCTATTCCCAACAATTTTTAGCAGCACCTGAACTATTTCCACACCTCCTTGGCTAAGCCATATTTGTTATATATAATATTCTAATGTATAAATGACTTATGATGGCTGGCTGAGTAAAGTGAGGCCGTACACATCTCAACAGCATTTCTGTGTTTGTCAGTTACACAGCAGAGGGAAGAGCAGAGTGCATTTCAGGCAGCAGGATCTTGGCTAACATGGCAGCTTTGTTGCTGCACTACATTAGTTTTGGCAGATCCTAGGAGATTTATTTCTGTGTCATATTTGTGTTTGTAATTAGAAACAGCACTCTCAACAGGCTCCTGAACAAAAAACTGGCACATACCTCTAAGTCATTGAAAAATAAGTGCGTGTCAGCCACTTCGAAAATCATCTCCTCCATCGTCAGACCTGAGCCAATCACTAGAGTCGGGTCCTGGAAAGCAAGGCAGGAAAAGAAAATTTTGCCCTGGTTCTGTACTTCAGTAGAGATAAACCTCTTGCCAATGACATTTCACAGGATTTACACTGGTTCCCCGGGTTAGAACGTGCTGGCGTGATTCTTTTTTATACCATTCAAATGTATTGATTGTAATATCTCTGAAACACTGTGGGCACCTGAAGAAAAGCAAAAATCTAGTACAGTATCAAAGCAAAACAAATCAAACTCCAGTGCCACGCAGTTTGGACACATATACTTCTAGCAGCACAACAGAAAAATTATTTGTAATTGTTCCATATATTTGAGAGAGGCTCTTTATTTTCACTGCATGTTGGACTCTCACTGATTCATATTAATGACAGGGACATGCTTTGTTACTTAATGAAGTTAACAAGAAAGTGACCACACAATATAAGAGAAGCATCTTGTGCTTTGCTCGTTTATTTTGAAAATTACATTATATAGCAGTGTCATGGTTCCTTCCCCACTCTGCCACGATAAACGCAGAAGTGGGGGCCAGCAAGTGAACCCCAAAACCTTATCTACCAGACTTTGGTATAAAACTTCCCCCCAAAATCTTAAAAACCTAGATTTTGGGGATGGACTCTCTGCTGCCACCACCCAAATTAATAAAGAAACCAGGGGAGAGAGAGACCATTTGGGAAAATTTCACCCCTAAAATAAAAAGCAGGACACCACCATTAACCAATACCAGGTTAATAAAAGGAAAAGAGAAAATGTTTCTTATCACCACACTATTCCTGTTGCAAGCATAACGATTGGATGGAAAAGTAACAAAATAATATACTCATGGAGAAACTCCATGGGCCTAGAACTTAGTTACAAAGGAAAGCCAAAACACTTTTTTTAAAAGTGCACAGACAGCAGATCCCATACCCAAACCAAAAAACAATGAAACCTGATGGATTTATCTAAACTTTACCCTACTTACAGAAAGTGAAGTATTTTCTTGGAGGGAGACATAGTGTCTGTCTCCCTCAATAGCTGGAGAGAACTGCCCAGAACAAAGGAGGGAAAAAAACAAAAATTCCTTTGTCCCAGTTTGAAATTCCTACCTACGTTCCTATTGGCCACTCCACCTGGCTAGGTAAGGGACAAAGTTAACCCATTAGTCCTCAGGCTGCTGGCTAACCCTGATGATCATGACAAGCAGCTATAATACTGATGGAATTTTAAAAGGTTAAACAAACCAGATATGGTTCTTTATCTGCCTCTTTTGACTATCTAGTCTTTAGGTGCTTACAGACTATTTGTTTTTCCTGTTCCATTCCAGCTCGGCTTTCCCCTTGATATTTTTATACCCACTGCCTTTTCTTGTTGCCCCCCTCTCCCATTTTTTTTCCTTCTCCCTCCTCCCTCCCGCTCACCTATTTATTTTGGTCCTGGACATCCAACATTCTGGTCATTTGAAGAAGTGGGCTGTGCCCACAAAAGCTCATGATCCCATCTACATGTTCTGTTAGTCTTTAAAGTGCTACCAAACTATTTGTTGTTTTTTAAGTTTATCCTGTACAGACTAACTCGGCTACCCCCGGAAGCTTTCAAATATTGTTAGTTTTACTTTACATTTAAGCACTTTAAATATTTGACAAATGAAACCTTCAAAAGATGAAAGTTATTATACGATCTCAGCACAAAGGGGCTGAAATTACAAAGAACATGATCCTTATCTTCACCCTGCAACCGCACTTCGAAACTGAATCAATTCATAGCCTCGTACTTAATTCAAATGAACATGTTTGCAGTCATGACCATAAGAACTTGATCCAGTAGTTTCTTCATTGACGTGGTTACCCCTTTAAAATAACCCATGTGTTCCAATAAAAGGGGAGGTTCCCCACCTGTAACTGTGGTTCTTTGAGATGTGTGGTCCCCCTCTGTAGTCCACTGGGGCTTTTCAAAATAGCAGTGTCCATCATGCTGGACAGATCAACCCCTTTCCAATTCCTTCTCCACTGTACAGGGGGAGGAAGGTGGGACGGGAATACAGATAGGAGCCACACATCTCAAAGAACCTCTAATCATGGGTAAGTAACCTTCCTCCTCCTCCGAGTGATGGTCCTGTCTGTATTCCACTCAGGGCGATCAACAAGCTGTACACAGGCAAGAGGAGGATGTGAGGGAGATGCTGGTAAGGAGAGGTGGGAGATACTTGCTGCTCTGTGCTCAGCAGGGAACTGCTGCTGTCACGGAGAGAGGAGTGACCCCCTCCCCCAGCAGGCAGCTCTGTGGGCAGAGCCCTGAGCTCCTGGCTGGGCAGGGCTCCTTAAGCAGACCTGGGGCTGGACTGCCATGCAGCTTAGAAGGAACCTTAAGGGAGGCCTCACCCATTCTAGGGCGCTCGGTTTGAGGCGCAGGAACACACCGATTCTCTCGTGACAGCAGCACCTGGTTTTGGGAACAGACCCAGGCCCAGTCGGGGTCCTGCCTCAAGACGGACAATCCACACTGCACCAACAAAGCCACTGCAGAAGGGTGCGTGGTTCAGTAGATCCAGCAAATGAAGCAATGTGTGGGCGCCACCATGGCCGTAACTGGTGGCAGTTTGGTGTCTTGCTTGGCTCTGGACAGGAGGAAGACTTACTGCCACACTTATGTGCATGCTTCCCTGTTTAAAGGCTAAGCCCTGGCAAGGGATCCATAGCATTGGTGCTGGCAGAACTGGAGTGAGACTGCACAGCAGGAAGCACACTCCAGAACTGCTTGGGCCGATGTATGGGAGGAGGAGAGGGATCCCCAGCCAGCATCCAATGGTGGGGCCCCATGGCAACCTCCATGAAGTGCTTCTTAAGGTTCAGAGCCTAGCCTTCCTGGG